AAGAAAAATTCAGGACACCTGCAGAAGGGCTTAAATATGGGACTGTCCCTTTAAAAACGGGACATCTGGTGACCCTACTAGTGACAACAGGCCTCGTGATCACAGGCAGATGTAGTGGATGAAGAGCAGGTCTAAGATGCCACTAACAATACATAATTGACTGCATCCTTTAATGAAAGCAGCACTGATAGGTACAGCATTTATGTGAAGGAAACATCTTAGCACATTCCCCTTGCCTCTATCCACAGCAGCTGCTTGGTCCCAAAGAGAAGTCCAACTTACCCATTGGTATCATGGCCACAGTGACAGTGAGCAGAACGAAGGTACAAAAAGTCTTCCCAACACAATTCATGTCAGCTTTTGCTTTCATTGCTCACACAGCTCGCTCGCTATATCCACCCTGTTGTAAGCCCAGCTGCAGATGTGGGGAGCTTCCCTCTGTGACAGCGTGTCCTTGCCAGCCAGTGTCTCTGTTCCCTCGTCCACTTCCCCACCTCTTCTCCACCCCAACTCCGCCTGCTCCTGACTGATTAGCTCCTTGGAGGTGGAGAGGCTCCTTCCTCTGCCTTTTCATAGCACTAGGCTTCCTGCGCTGAGACCCAAAGCGAACATCGAGGAAACAGATTGAGCAGCTCTGCCTTCCGTTCATTGGCTCTCCTCGCAGTGCTGATGTGTGAAGATAATCTCCACAGCAGAGCTCAGAATGGAGTAAAAATGAAGTATATTCTTCAAGCCTGGACTTACTGTCAGAGAGGGAATCTTAATAGTGGGGAGTTGGAGCATCCAGTAATAACAGTGCACTCAGCGCTTCACAGATAAGAAAAGTTCCGTTCCTGAAGGGCTTCCACTCTAAGACCTTCTCTACAAAGACCTCTTTTAACAATTGCCCCGCAGGAGGGGCTCTGTCCCTGTTAGGATCAGGGCCTTAATCCTGCTCTTAAACAAAGAGGCATACTCAGACCTCAGAGAAGAGAATGTGTAGTGAGGGGGGAAAAAGTCTATATTTTACTTAGCTTTGGACACAAGTTCTTTAGAAACACTCAATGTCCTTTAACTATACCATTCATTATTTTGTATATACGTATCTGTATTATATTCCATCTTGATCATCTCCTTTGAAGTAAACAGTCCCAGTCTTTCTTCACACATATGTCTCTAATCATTTTTGCCATCTGCCTCTGTCCCGTTTCTAATTCTGCTGTATCCTCAGGGGACCAGAACTGAGCACAGTACTGCATAGGAGGACATACCATTGTTTTATAATATTTTCTTTTCCATCCCTTCTACGTTTTAACATTATTATTATTATTATTATTATTTTTTGCTTTTTAGACCTCCCCATAAACAAAGGGCCTGGGAAGCAAAACACAAAATGATTGAGGTGGGACTTATGTTTTCTCTTGTTTCTGCATCCCAGAGAATGGAGATGCTTTTGTCTTTTCTCAGCCAGAGACTGGCGTGTCTGTTACACCAGAGAACTTGGCCTCTTTTACAGAGGAGGTGAGGAGAGCTGTACATCTGGGAGGAGCAAGGAGGGGGGGTGTAGAAGCCAAGGTGAGAGAGGATCAGGGCCTGGATAAGTTGGATGGAGGAGGACAGATGGAATTTGCAGATCATGCAGAGGGGAAAATTTAGAGGATTTATTGACCTCATGAATGTTGGGAAACCGGAAGGGTGGGAGTGGGGAGTTGATTGTGATGCTGAGACAACGCAGAGATTGGAGGTGTTGGCAGCTTGGCTAGGGAATGGGGAAGAAGAGGGAAAGGTCTGGCAGGAAATGGGAGGAGTTTGGATTTCATGGGGTTGAACTTGAGCTGGTGGCCTGTGCATTATCCAAGAAGAGTCTGGACAAAGAGGGGGAGGGGAGGGAGCTGAGCTAGACCCGAGAGCCCTCTCTGCTAAAGGTAGTAACTGAAGCCAGGAGATTGCATGAGGTTACCTCTAGGTAGTGCAGAGGAGAGAAAAGAAGAGGGCCAAGGACTGAGCCCTGAGGGTCACCAACAGAGAACAAAAGGGAGAAGGAAGAGCCCCCAGTGGAGATACTGATGAAGCAGTTGAAGAGGGAGGAAGAACACCAGAGACGACTGTTTCTGAAGCCAAGGGTGGAGACAATCTCAGAGAGAGAGAGGGTAGTGGTGATCTCCTCTGACAGCATCTCTTCAGACAACAGTACAGTCCTGACAGCAGTATAATCACATGCAGCGAATAGTCCTGAGAGGCCTCAGAGGGCACACGTTCTGTGGGGTTGCATGGTTTTACCATAGCACTACAGCAAAGAGTCAACACCAGGATCATTTATTTGAAATGGAATGCAGACTTGTCACGTTGCCAATCTCAAGCCAGATCTTGTCTGTTCTCGTAGCTGAAGTATGGGTTCTCCATTGTGGTTTTTAATGTGGGTTAGTTTAGATCAGGGGTGGGCAGACTTTTTAGCCCGAGGGCCACATCTGGGTATGGAAATTGTTTGCCGGGCCATAAATGATCACGAAATTGGGCGTTGGAGTGCAGGAGGGGGTAAGGGCTCTGGCTGGGGTGTGGGCTCTGGAGTAGGTCTGGGGATGAGGGGTTGGGAGTTCAGGAGGGTGCTCCAGGCTGTGACCGAGGGGTTCGGAGGGTGGAAGGGGGATCAGGGCTAGGGTAGGGGGTTGGAGTGCAGGAGGGGATCAGGGGTGCAGGCTCCGGGTGGCACTTGCCTCAAGCAGCTCCCAGAAGCAGCAGCATGTCCCCCCTCTGGCACCTACGCAGAGGCATGGCCAGGCAGCTCCGCACACTGCCCCATCCTCAGGCACCGCCCCTGCAGCTCCCATTGGCTGCGGTTCCTGGCCAATGGGAGCTGCAGGGGCGGTGTTTCACAGTGGCAGCGTGTGGAGCCCCCTGGCTGCCCCTACACATAGAAGCCGGAGGGGGGAACATGCCGCTGCTTCCAGGAGCCGCGTGGAACGGGGTAAGCTCCCGACCCTGCTCCCCGGCTGAAGCAGGGCAAGCTCTGGGCCCCACTCCCCTGCCGGAACTTAAGGGCTGGATTAAAAATTCTGGAGGGCCAGATGCGTCTCCCAGGCCACAGTTTGCCCACTCCTGTTTTAGATACACTTTCTGTTTCTTATAGTATCATCAGACATTGTCTGAGAGATACACAGTCTGTGATCAGCTCAGTTTGAAGTGGTTTTGCTCAGACTTAAGCCTTTCATGACAACAGAATTTATCATAATAACTTGTTCAATATACAGAGCAGCTGCAGGATTTGGGAAGATACATTGTAACTATCGAAGTATAGATAAAAATAAGCTTTTGAGAGTAAAATTACTACTTAATATAGCCTGAATATTGAGAGGTGCTTATTTTGTCAGATCCTCAGTTAGTGTAAATTGGCGTCGAGTTCCATTGACTTCTGAGGATCTCGCCTATTGTGTCAACCACAGCATCCCTGAGTGATGATGTCGCTAAGTAATCTGGACTTAAATAGATACATGCGAAAAGTCTCATCAGTCAAGGGAGCTGGTCTCTGCACTATTGATACTCTCACCTGACTGCACAGAACACACACGACGTCCCATCAATGAAATAAATTGTTCTGGCCTTTGGCAAGAAGGCTGCATTTACAGTCCAGTGCATTGTGCACAACTCACCATGATACGTCTATTTAAAGAACCTTTAACTCTCCTACAGACACTAATAGAGTTGGAGCATCAAGCTTAATGGGAAATTTCCTGTTTCTTGATGATTTGCATCAGAGACTTACAATTATTGATAGTTTTTCCACCTTTGTTGATTTTACTAAATAACTTTTTTTTTCATTTTTAAACTCTTTCCCCCCTAATTAAAAAAAAAAGTAGATGAATTTCATGGGTTTGTTGTGTGTGGTCATTTAAGTGAACAAACAAAAGCATTGGATAGAGACATTTTTTGTGTGGGCAGATGCTGTACAAACTTCTTCGACAACAATCCTGACCTGCTGCCCTACAGCTATTCCCATTCTGGGCTCCCCATACAGCTCTGCCAGTGTTCCTGAATGTTGACCTGCAGCCCCGCTCCCGTTATTCCATCTCTGCGCCTCACACAGCTGTGCCGATGCCCCTCAGTCCAGCCCTGCAGCCCCCCTGCTAGTCCAGTCGTAGTCCTTCCAAGAATTCCACCAAAACAGCTTGACTCTAACCTGCAAACCCACCTGACATGTGACTGCGAAGGCAGCTAAAATAATAGACTCCAGCTTCAGCTGTTACCTGCAGCGCCCCATAACGGATGTCATACTGTGGTCGTTTCCTATCAGTTCAGTCCCACAAAATAACAACAAACTCTGACCAACCTGCTCCCCTAACAGAGTGATAAAGTGAAACCCAGGGGAGAACGTCACATAGAAAAGGGGTTGGGACTGTTTCTGAAGCAGCTTCATAGGTGCTCTGTGGTTAGTTGGTATTGTTTATTCCTGGAAACACCCACACACCTGAAAGTCCTGATGAGAATATGGTCTCTTCTGTGACTCCCCCCAGAGGGTAGGAGGGACAGAGGCAGAGTGCAGCACCCTCACATATCAAAGGCACTTTTATTTCATATCAAAACTGAAATGACTGAGCCCTGACTTGGTGCTTTTAGCTTCTTTTCTTTCCAGCTGAAGGACCAGAATTGTCCTGAAGTTGAATCCGCAGGTTTAAATTCCTTCTTGTGGTCTGTAGACTGAGAATTTTTGACAGCATTTCAAGGCAGATTTAGAGGAGTGGATCTATATGTAAATCTATTTGGATACTCCTCCCCCATCCTGCCCCCAGCTGCAGGATCTGAACCAGTGTCTCCTACAATCCATCTATCTCCAGAATGAGATACCTGCTTTCTCAAAAATGTATAGGGGCAACTCTTCAGTAGATGTAAATTTTCACAGCTCCATTAAGTTAATAAGGCCAGAAGGGACCATTATGATCCTCTAGTCCAGTGGTCCCCAAACTTTTTACCTCACGCCCCCCCCCACCCCAGGAGCGAGGCTGTGGCTTCTGGAGGGGGGTACAGGGACCGAGGTAAGGGGGCCAAGGCTGGGGCCACAGCTGGGGGTGGGAGGGGAGCGTTGGCCAAGGCCGGTAGCCAGGTGGAGGTTGACAGCTGGGGTCAGCAGCCAGGGCCAGATCCAGGAGC